TAATTAACCGGAAATAGTCGAATTGTCCGAACAAATTCATGGAGCGTTTGTAGTATATTTTGGTTGATGCGGTGTATTGTATACTTTGCTAAAAAATATAAATTTCAGGTGGTATTGAATTGTTAGGCTTATGGCCAATGTTGTTTTCTTGTTGATGTTGTTGTCAAATTACTATTGTTGTTGTGACGTACTAAGTTGTAGGCTTATGCCAACATTGTGTTAATTGTTGTTGTTGAAATATCAAGTTGTAGGCCTATGGTCAAAGTTGAATTATGTTGAGTTGATGTTGAATCATTGATTAATGTGTTAGGCTTATGGCCAATGTTGATTTATGTTGAGTTGTTGTGTTGTTGTGGTTGTCTTTATGAATTCTTGTTGATAATGTGAAGTTGCAAAGAATTTTAAATGATGATGAATTACCTCTATTTACTGGTAATAATGGTGATGTGGGCTTATGCCTTGCGATGCATGATGACCGTTGTGGGTATGTGATAGTGCATTCATTGAGTCACATACATTTACATACTCCATGATGACTTGGATTGACAAACTGCGAAGAATGCTTATGCCTTGTTGATGCCTCTATTTATTGGCATATTTTTAAGATGAAAGTTCTGCTCCGTTTTTAAGATGGGAGTTCTACTCTGTTTTTAAGATGGAATTTTTGTTCCAATGGTACTACATGCATGTGCATTGTAATTGAGTCGTAGTTGATGTTGCATCTTGAGTTGTGGTGATGATATATTTGTTGTTGCTTTATGTTGTTGACTTATTGTGACAAGTATTATCTAAAAGCTGTGAATTAGTAGTTATGTCATATTGATGTTTTGTTATGATTACAGTTGTTTGTAAGTTGTGAAGTGATGATTTTATATGATCTGATCTAATATATTATTTATCATATGACTTATTATATTGTCTGATATCTCACCCCTTCTGTTTGAATGTTACCCTCTGTTGGTAACATGCATGTAATCAAGAAGGATAGTTGTTACCTTCGTTAGTTCGAGTCTGTGTTATCGTTCTGATACGTAACACTCGAGGGGATGAACGCTTGATGTTTAGTTATTGATGTTTATTTCAGTTGCTGAATTTTAAGTTGGTTACATGAAATAATTGTTGTCTTGAAATTGTTTCAGTTGAATAAAATATGTTAAGTGAATTGAAGTTGAGTATGTAGATTCTGCTGCTTATCAATAAAAATTTGTTTGATTTTGAAGAATAAATCAGGTGGTTATCGGTTCACCTGAGTTAAGTGTTATGTATCTATTTTATATACGATTAAATGAAGCGATGATTTCAAGTTGTAAATGTAGCATCCCATTTATGTCAAAATCTGATTTTATTATTATCCGTCGGGTAGAATTGGGGTGTTACATTAGTGGTATTAGAGCAGGTCGGTTCGTTAGACCAAGTTGTCTAATGTTGTTTGCTCCTTAGTGCGCGACCAGTGTGTGAAACACTGTTGGTGCTTGTTATTTTTCTAATCGAGTTGTATGCAGAAGTTGGGTTGAAAATAAGTGGAGGAGAAACTTTGCTTCTCAGATGTGTTTTGGTTGTAAGATGTTGGTTCAATATGCTGATGTTGGCGATGGTGCAAATATTATTGCAATTTTGTTGTTTCCCGAATCCAAAGATGACATGGATTCAAGATTTTGTTTGTTAATCAAGTTGGAGTGTCTCGAGGGAGGATGATCATACCTTGTTAATGTTTACTTCTCAAAGGACGAGGAGTAACGTAACGGTTGTTGATATACGAGTAAAGTGTAAATCCCCAATGTTTCTGAAGGTGATTGTTAAGTAACAAGGATAATTTTTAGAAGATGGAATTTAGAAAGTTGCGATGTTTCAGCGCTACTAGTGGATTGTGAAGTTGTCGGTTTGAGTAGCCCTAAGATGTCGACGTTTGAATGGTGATAGAGTGACAAATTGCTGTAGACCTTGTCGTGGGATCCTTGTGAGTGATTGTAAAAGTTGTTGGAATATTTTGAATCGCGAGTCAGAGTTGGAAATGCGAGGTGATGAGTATGATTTCAAGAAATAAGAATGGAAAGTGTTGGTACTGGTGCAAATAAATTTTGTTATGATGTTATCGTAAGATGTGTAATAGTATGTCGCTGCATGATGTCGGTGTTCGCATTTTCGGATAACTTTGGAAATTCATATCTTGTGTTCCGAGTATCGGATTAACGTTCCGTTTGAACCTATGAGGAAATAGAAATATATTATATCCTATGAAAGTGTTTTCAAATATGGTTGATGCATTCCTATATGAAGGAACTCTGAAGTCGTTTACGGAACTAGAGGCTTTTTGGGTATAAATAGTTATTGTTGCAGTTGCTCGAGACGAGGTCAAGCGTAATATGTTGTTGGCGAATAAGTTGAGAAATGAGATGTTCGGCATTAAAAAGGATGTGAAAGTATTGGAGGAGCGCATAGAGATGCAGCCTATGAAGAGAAGATGTCCTAATTAATACTCTTAGGAAGGAAGAAACAAAGACATTTACTGAGACAATGAATGCGAAAAGCTTGAATGCTAAGGATTGCGATAAGTTTCTAAAATACTCAACTCCTTCATTTTATAGGTGAAATTAGTTGGATAATCCATAATTCCAATGAGACGAAGATGAAATCAGCGATTGGATTTCCTCGTTAGGATAGATGCAAACTCGAGGGCACTCAAGTTCACTATAAGCGACACCACACCCTAATTTGTCACATCAACACACATGTCCGGAGAAGGCAGCGAAACATTTTAATGAAGGAAATGCATTTAATGTGCTTGTTCTCCACTACTTTTTTAATTGACTCCAAGCATTTTAGTTCTAACTCACACCAGACAACCTCTAAGAGGCCAACCAAATCACTTAAGGCTTTCCTAACTCACTCAGTACCCGACAAAGCCTCGAAGACAACTGTTCTGGGTCGGCCAAATGCCCAAAACTAAGACTCAACTCACCTCGAATCCACTTCACTTTACTCAAGGTATAAATGTCAGTTCACATGAAAAGTCAAATAAACTCTCTAATCTCTACTTTTCACTATATAATATTCAAATTTACCTTCTTATTTTATGTTCAAATCCATCAATTTCACCTTCTCCAAAATTCCTTTTCATATATTTGAAAAATATTCCCATTTATTTTACCTCTTTCATCTATATAACTTTTATAATAGTACAAATTGATCGACTATATCACTTATTTTTAAACAAATATTATATTTTAAGTATAATTTATATACTTGTTTAATTACTAAAATCATATATAAAAGATCTAAAAGATGGTAGGAAAACCTTTTTTTTGAACGAAGATGTTATATATTTTTGAATAAGTTATGTTTTTTTAATTAATTGATTAATCTATAAAAAATCCTAGGGAAAAACACATCTTTCACAAAACTTAAATTTTTTAGCTTAATTGTAATTTTGGTCACTCTATTTAACTTTTTTATTTATTTTGATTTTCCCATTTGAACCCAAGACCTTTAACTTTAAAAAGAGGCGCCCAACCACTAAATTGTGTATGTTTCTTTGTTAAATACTTGAAACAAATATATCTAATACATGAGACATTTATGTTTTTGTCAATAATTATTTTTCTCTCTTTTCCAAACTTTTCATTGTTAAACAAAAAACTTTTAAATGGATAGAAAGTAAGAAGGGTTAGAAGCTCATAACATTTACACTTGTCTAACAGAATAATCACCCGATGAATACAACTCACCGCAATCATGAAGGCACACGACATTCCACCAACTAGAAGAACCTCTACCTCCATCTCTAATAAAATTATCTCACTTCCATCTTTATCAACTAAGTTTAGAAGAAATTATTGGAGTTGATATTTTTTATCAACCAAGTATATTGCTTAGAGGTAATGGTTGCATCTGTTAGTTATTTAACTGTAAGAAGTATATGTGTTGCAAAAGAGAATTAAAATCATTTCAAATTACAAATTACAAATGTCTACAAACATGACAATATTTGTAACATTTGTTGTAGTCATCACAAATGACAAAGTTACTTTTAACAACACTTAATTTATAAGAATTCTAGGAAAATTCTCACCTAAATAATGATCAATTTTCAATAATAATATCCATGTAATTTCAAAGAACAAAAAATGTTCATTACTCGTCCAATTTCAGATAATATCTTCAACTGTCATATTAATAAGACAACATGGTTACCAGCTAAAGTAGTAAGAGAATATGATTTAATTAATAAGAGATTATGGTCTAATTTATCTGAACTAATATTTAGATGAAGTCGAAGCAAGAGATAAGTTGAATAAATTGCATCTTACCTTGAAAATAGATTATGTATGCAAGAAAATATCAGAACAATTTCTTCTATAACCTTTGAAAAAGAGAGAAAAATAATTATTGGCAAAAATATAAACACACTGTTTCATGTGTTAGATATATTTGTTTTAAATATTTAATAAAAAAACACGTCTAGTAGTTGAATGTCTTCTTTTAAAGTTAAATGTCTTGAGTTGAAATCTTGTTATGACAATTTTTTAAAGTTTTGGCTTTAATCATAATACACAATCAAAAAAATAATATAATAAAATTTCAATAATTATAAATAAAAAATAAAAAATGATGTGGATATAAATTACATGTAAACTCAAATAAAATTATGCTATTGCTAAGGGCCAAATTGAATAGGAGACTAAATTCAAATATAAAGCTTGAAGAGAGACCAAAGTTGCAATTCCAATTTTTTATTTATAATAAAATATTAAATTTAAATATATTTTTGAATAATTTATATATTTTTAATTATTAGAATAATATATAAAAGATCATAGAGAAAAAGTATGTCATTACACTTCATCATCTGTTAAATACAAATCGCTCCTCTCACTATCCAAAACAAAAAATTAGAATCAAAGAGTGCTTAAAATTCTCAACCGAAAGTGAAACCCTAACTCACCGAAATCGAATTGATTTTCCTCTCGAAAGCCCTAGTTCCTCGTTCATCATTCTCGCCGATGGACATCGAACAGAGGCAATCGGATCTCATCGATCACTTCGTCAAGCAAGCCTCTGCTGCATCAAACCCTCCCGCGCTCTCTTCCGTCATTGTTGATGCAACTTCTCACCCTTTGCTCTTTGCCTTCTCTGAGATTCTCGCTCTCCCCAATGTTCTTCAGGTTCCCTTTTTCCGTTGTTTTTGTTTATTTTAATATCGAATGATTTGTTCATAAGCATTGTACTGGGTAGAATATTACGGTGAAAGTTGATCCATGTAGCCCACTCCACCTAGTGGGATTAGGCTTGGTTGTTGTTGTTGTTTTTGTAAATTTGCAACTAATGCTGGCTGGTGTGTTTGTCTTATAAATTTTGACTGATTTTTTTTTTGCAGCTTGAAGCAACTGATAATAAGTCACACCTTGATATGCTTAGGCTGTTTGCACATGGAATATGGAGTGACTACAAGAGTAAGTATATTGATTGATCTTCTGCTTGTCTTTCTCGCCCTGCACGCTTGTGTGTGTGTGTGGTGGGTGTTTTCTGGCATTTGCTGGATGTTTTTTTTTCTTCTTTTTGAGTAGTATGTTGTTACCTTTAACAAATTTTATAGGAACTGTTCTTTATTGTACCATGATGAGTGATTGTGATTTTTGAAATTATTATTAATTCGATGTCTGGATGTTAATGTCTCGAGATAATAAGTTGTAACTTTTGTAAAGACTAGCTGGGGATGTATAATAATAATTAGGTAACTATGTTCATACTTATTTCATAAGAAAGTTATGGTTAGTATGTCAGACTTACTGCACATGCAGACTTTTGTATGCATACCAGCATAGGAGCGTGTTTTTCCATTTGGAATTGCTTAATTTCATGTCCCACTATTTAGAAAATCACTACGTCCGCACTTTATTTTAAGCTTTGTAAATGTCAGTAGTGAGATATGTACATTTATCTTCATTCAAGATTTCCTATTTTACTTTGAGTCTTTTTAAAATAAGTTCTTTTACCATTCATGTGTAAGTGCAAATAATATAACGATGTTCATTAATAAGTTTGAATGTATTATATATAGGTAATGCCGACCGTCTTCCACAATTGACACCTGATCAGATCCTTAAGCTTAAGCAGCTTACAGTTCTTACACTCGCTGAGACATACAAGGTATTGCCTATCAATCCGAAGTTATTGACTACACTTTATGGTTGGCCCCTGTGGTAGCTTGCTTACTCAGGGTTGTTTAAGGGTTTGGTTTTCTGTTATCAGTTTTCTCTCCTCAAATGCCTTTTTTTTCTATCATAGGCGGAAGGGAAACCAAATCTTCCCCTGAATCCGTTTTTGATTTTGTATAGGACTGTTTCATCTCATTCATCATTTTAATATGCATTTTCATATTCAATGTAATTATTTAGAACATAATTTGATTGATTAACGTTCTATGTTTTTTTTAATTTGAATTTTGTCACTGATATGATTTTACAATTTAAACTGTTTTTTCAGGTATTACCCTATGACCAATTGATGCAGGAGCTAGATGTGACAAATGTTCGCGAGCTTGAAGATTTTCTAATTAATGAGTGCATGTATGCGGTAAGAACCATTTTCTTTTGAAAGAGTATTTACTGCTCATATGTGGGATTATTGATTTAATGCACAACTATATGATTATTATTATGATCATTGTTGTTATTGTTAACTGTATCATATCATGCTATAATGGCAGAGTGGTTTGCTGTTGGTCCCGCAAGAGCCGCTGAAATGACTCCTATCCATGGCTGGAATCATGGTAGTCAAATTGGTGGGGGGTGATTATGATTGCCGCACATAGCCGTGGAAATAGTAGAATTGTGCGTATATGCTGAGTCTCTGTGTGTTCATGAAATTATGGGTTCGTGGGTCTGGTTACTTAAAAACGACAATTGGGATAAAAAGTCCTAACCCTAAAAAACAACACTTTAAACTCATTTAACGCTGCAGAGTTTAGTTTCTAACCCAATACACAGATTAATGTCTGTAGTGTATTTCAGATGGAATATACTATCAAAAGTGTGTTTCAGGTAGCACGAGGGGGACAGATCAAGAAGTCATCTTAGCGAAAACTGTCCTTATACACAAACAAATTGCACTCCCTCCCATATAAACAGTTCTATTGTTTCCCTGCAATGCTCTGCTGCTTTTCCATAGTGCACAGGCCTTTCCTTCTCATATGAGGCACTAACCCGATTGTGTGATCCTTACATGTTGCGAGACAGCAACCCTGAGTAATTATGACTTTACATCCATGTTTAGTAAGGGAAGGGCGGGAAGCACTGAACCAGACATTCCCCAAGCTTCAACATACTCTAATGATTAGATAGCTCTCCATAATTCTCAACCTCTCTTATTCATAAGTAACATACATGATTTCTTCTAACTTTCTCACCTAACTTCCTTTTTCAGAAAAATGGGGAAAGAAGAGTATTATTAGTTATTTATTTGAGAGGGGGGAGGCACTGGACCTCACATTCTCCAGTGTGATTCAAACTCCATCCCTACTGATTACAATGCTAGATAGTTACTACTGCACTAGCATCCTAACTAGATTAAATCACTCGTTTACCACCAACACTAACAAGAACCTAGCATTCTCCCACATTAGTATGCTCTAGTATATAATATACAGATGCGTAAGTGTGAATCAGTTACAACAGATTCCAAGTCTGTTTATAACAAAATCTTGAAATGCACTTCTAAACTACTTTCTTTCGAACATTTATACTATACATTCATAGAGTACAGTTACTCTAAAAGGGATTGAGATGCAGTACTGTAGTTTTTTAGTTATTGGTCTCTGTTTAATACTGCTGCTAGTGCATATAGATATTGCACTCTATAATATAATCATTTGTTCTTTATTCAACCTCCTGTTAATTTGTTAATTTATGACAAACTACATTTTGATTGTTTCTTTTCGATGCCTGTTTTAGTTGGTTTTTTTTTTTTTTGTATTCCTATTTTTATCTTGTTTTTCTCCTAAAGATGTTGCATTGTCAGATTATTAGGTATTGATTAATGTGGAAACTTTTAATTGGATTCTTATTTTTATCTTGTTTTTCTCCTAAAGATGTTGCATTGTCAGATTATTAGGTATTAATTAACGTGGAAACGTTTATTTGGAAGGCATCTTTCTAAATTTTCTTCTATTATCAGGGAATAGTCAGAGGGAAGCTGGATCAGTTACGGCGATGCTTTGAGGTCTTAGCTCAATATCATTTTTTTCCGGTTGTAGTAAAATTAAATTGCATCTGTTAGGAATTTCTTTGACCTTCATTGAGGGTGATTTCAGGTCCAATTTGCAGCAGGTAGGGACTTGAGGCCTGGTCAACTGGGGAATATGATCCAGACACTCTCCAACTGGTAATATATTTCTTTTCAAATAGGGTATTGTGTGATTTGAATTCCTGTCATTATCCCCCAAACTAATCACCCTTACCCAAAAAAAAGATCTGGTTTTGGACTATGACCACTTTCCACGAAAATTTAATTCATGACTGGGAAACACAGGTTATCTACATCAGAAAATATGCTTGTTTCAATTCAAGATAAGATAAAATGGGCTGATTCAATGAGTGAAAATGACAAGAAGCACAGGAAGGACGTGGAAGAGAAGGTTGAAGAAGTAAAGAAGTCCCTTTTCAAGGTCGGTTGGATTTATTTTTACAGCATATCTTTGTCAGAATTTTTATTCTTGAATATTAATGAGAAAATGCTCTGTTGAAAAGCTTGTTTGTATTTTTATTGATCTACACAATTTCTCATATACTCTGCTTTCTGTTCTAGAATTGATATACTACCCTATTCTGTTCTTTTGACTGAAGCAAAATGGTTTTGTTTAAAATGAAGGGTTTTTACAAAATATGTTGGAATTTTATTTGTCTTTTTGTTTATCTGTATGTGTTTTGTGAATGTTGCTTGACTATTTGGTGGATATATTACGAATGCTGGAATTCTCTTGCCCGTACTCTTTGCCAGTGTAAAATGAATATATTATGCAAACAGATAGTTTAATTTGACTTGATAGAGTTCTTGGTCTGGACTTGTATCGTATCTTTGCCAAATAATATGTTAATTTTGTTTTTATCCGTAGCCAAATCCATATTGTGTTTTCTCTTAGCCACCACATAATTTGATGTTAGCTTGATTGAACTGGAGCATGGGCATTTCCTTGAAACCACCAACTTCTCTTCTAGTCACCAACTTCCCTTCTAGTTAGAAGGGACGAGGAAGTTTGCTACTGAAAAATGTTTATATAAAAAATCATGCACCCTCGTGAAAGAAGTAAAACAAATTTTTAGCAGAAAAGTTGTAGGTAAAAAATGACGTGTAGTATTTATAGCCATGAAAAGTCTGAATATCGCTATATTAATGACTTCAACTTCAAAGCTACGAGGGAAAATCTGCTGCAGAAACAGCCCCCCCTGTTCTTTACTAATGACTTCATAGTTGCTTTATGTTGCCTTCAACTTCTAGGCTATCCTATGTGATCTGAAATATCTGTTCTTTATAATTGGGATATATTGGTCGATGTGTCTTACTTACATTGTGGCAGAAGTTACACACTGTGAGCAGGCCGACATCGACTTCCGAGGGCATGAGGAGGAGATCTGCTCTGAATCTGGTGGAGTGATGGATTTTGAAGAAGAACGAAGCCGACCAAAGAGGTAATTTCAGAAAACTCTTATCAGTCAAGTATTTGATCAGTTATCATAATAAAAAATGACTCTCTAGTTGAATCTGGCCATAAAATCAGCTAAATTTATTTGCATGTTTTCGGTTTCTGACCGGTTTATCATCTTCAATGGATGAATGAAGCTGGTGTGTTACTTGATTAATGCTGTCACTTTTTGTATTAAACTTATGACTAAACATTTGTACATCAATTGGGACTTAGATCAGATATGGATAAAGGAGATCTGCTATGAATCTTAATGTGTTCTGTCGCATCGTCTATTTCAAGCTAGAATATGATTGAGCTTGTGTATTAATTTAGAGAGTATATATCTTTTCTTGTATTCCTAGTCATAAGATTCTTGGCTTAAAAATTTGCAGGAGGCGGCATCCGATATCTTGAGGATTGTAGTAGATAAAGGAACTTCAATGAATTGGGTGTTTTAGTTGCTTGCCGGACTTTTATCTGTGGCATGCGTCAATTGAGAATATCAGCTTAAGTCTGTCACACCACAAAGCGAGATAGGAACAAAAAGAAACACCATTAATTTCTTTGAGGTTGTATTTTGGAAATTGAAAGTACTTCTGGAAACGTTGTTCATACTAATATTACTGCGTTGGTTAGAACAAGCTGAGGTGGTGGTGCGGCTTTTTAGGTTGCTAGATGCTCTAGTTTTATTTTGTATTATGCTTCTTTTATACTTACTCAATTGAATTGCTATACTTTCTAGTGAATATATATCATTCCCAAAGTTACATATTCAGCTTACGAGTTGCATAGATCTGTCTATAGATGGGAGTGGATTCTCTCTATTCGGAATCCCTACTTCTTTCCCCATTAGATCAGTCTCAACCATTCAAACTAGGGGTTGCCAAATAGATAGATTGGATGAACAATACATTAACAATCTATTGAAATTTCTAAAAAAAAATCAAATCTAGTGTATGATTTAAAGATAAATTGTGTTGGCCAATACTAGGTTGCTTCTGTAGTACTCTCACTAGTGTATGAGGTACTAGCTTACTCCACCGAGACATTAGGATGTATTCCATCTATTCAAATAAAGTATTTCAATGTTTTCTTAACAAGCGTTATTTCTTCGCTACCAAATGACATGTACATCAGAGCCTGTTATCTACCTCAAATGCTTCTACATGCGCCAATTTTAGAAGATTCTTGATAAATATTATAGGTTATAAGTATCATGGTTCAGATGTGAGTTCACGCTAGTGTTCCACATGGTTACTCCGTACTAAGGCTTTACTTGAAAGGGAGTGTTTTGATTTGGCTTGTGTTTTGGACTTTGTCGAAGTAAAATCTCGGGGGTTACTCTTTCTATCACATGGTGAAAAGTCAATAATCTCTCTCCTTTCGTAAAAATGTTGCCACTCTATTTTTCATTACTTCAGCCACTTCTCTAGATTTGCTTAGCTGCTGCAAATTCTCTACCATTCCTTTATTTTTATTTGGCACTCCCAGACCCCCACACCAGTATTGAAGTAATTTTTCACAATATTACATTTAATTTAAAATTTTAAGAAACATTAGATGAAGAAATCTGTGATAAAAAATGCAGAAAAACTAAAAATGCAATGCAGTACTAGATATAATACTAGCACCACTTTGATTCAATCAATTAGCTTATAGCAAAATTAGTAAAGCTAACTTTTAGAAGTCAACCTCTGAATTTCGGAGATGTATTTTCAGACATATTTTTCAGAAAATAGGGGTGTTTCACTTGCAACACCTCGTGTGATGTACTCTAAAGATGAAAAGTGTTAAGGTCTGTGATTTTATGGTTGACAATAATTTTGGTAAAACAAATAGTTGACAATAATTCTATCAACATGTTATATTTGGGAAGATCACGTTTTGCAGCCTAATATTGAACAAGATGTCATAACATCTTGATCAGCTGATATAGCAGGATCTACATGTACCTTATTTGACAGATGTTCTAGCTGATGTTGTAATATGTTACAATAGAACATCTTGACAGTACGCTGGATATTTATCCTTGAAGATTTGAGTTGAAAATTTGAGCATCTGAAATATTCTGTACTCATAACTGGCGTAAGCAATCAAGGATTTTATTAGAAACAAGAGCATATTTGATTAATTTTTAAAAAGGATCATTGAGACTTTTTAGAAAATATTTGTGAGATTTGATTCTATTTCTGTGGAGAAGATTCCGTATTTTTGGGGAGCTGCTGGTTGGATTTGATTGAAGAGTCCAAGCCCACTGCAAAAGTCTATATAAGGAAGTCGTCCAAGACCTAGTTTTTAAGCATATTTTTTTATTGTAAAATCTTGTGAAAAATAAGGTTTGATAGTCCTTAGGGTTTGATAGTCCTTAGGTTCTCCGTGTATTTTATTTTTCGTACGTTCTCATGTATCTTTGAAATATTTGAGTTGACTGATTGTTACTTGTTTATCAAGTTATTATTCTCCTCGAAGCTTTTAAGCAAGACTTGAGTATTATTCTTAGTGAAGCTTTTAAGCAAACTAAATATTTGTAATAAGGAAGTCGTCCAAGACCTAGTTTTTAAACATATTTTTATTGTAAATCCTTGTGAAGAATAAGGCTTTAGGGTTTGATAGTCCTTAGGTTCTTCGTGTTTTTTTTATACATCCTCATGTATCTTTGATACATTTGAGTTGGCTGATTGTTACTTGTTTATCAAGTTATTGTTCTCCTCAAAGATTTTAAGCAAGAGTTGAGTATTGCTCTTAGTGAAGCTTTTAAGCAAACTAAGTATTTGTAATTTGGAAGTGTGTTATTCTTTTTTGGTTTCTTGAAACATTCCCTGTGACTGTGATTGTTTGATATCACTGCGGTGATTGGAAGTGAGAGGAGTTCTCATATCTAGGAGGTGCCTAGGTAGAAGTTGCACTGAATATGGATTAAGTGAGAGGTTGTAAACTGGGGAGTTTAGCTTCAAATTAATACTGTTAACAATGGATTTCCTTCCTGGCTTGGTAGCCTCCAGAGTAGGTGAATTTACACCGAATTGGTTTAACAATTCTGTGTGTTCTTTTACTTTATGCAAGTTATAATTTTTGTATTAATGTTATCTTGTTGCTGTTCTGTCAACATATGTCATAACACCTGTTGTGACATTGTGTGTTGTTGAGACTTTTGTCTTGACTCCTGTTATTGTGCATGCTAGAATTTCAATTGACATTAAGATCGGACACCCTATTCTATTTACTGGGTGCGATTCAGGAATATATTTTCTGGCACTATGGATAAAGAAGGTGAAGGAAAATTGCGATCAAAAGCGCAGCGGAATTTAAAATTTTCCTTTAGCGATCCTTACGAATGAACATGGTCAGTGATAGAAATATTTATCTCTTGTGGCGATTCAGACCTTTGATGTTGTGATCACGAGCGTTGATGAAGAACAACGCCTCTACTCAGTCCACACGAATAGATCGCTTCCGGTCACAATGCTAGCTGATCACGAACAGAAACCTTGAGTGAGAGAGAGAATCAAAAACGAAATTGCATCAAGTGTGAAATTCTGGCAGCAGATACTCAATGTCACAGTGAATGTTATGACACCGTATCTGAATTTCTATAAGACAGTAAATAGAAAAACAGTAAATAACACAGTCAATTGTTTACCCAGTTCAGTGTGAAACAACACCTACTCTGGGGGCTACCAAGCCATGGAGGAAATCCACTATAAGAGATATTAATTCAGGAATAAACCAACCACTTTATCTCCTTCACTTAAGACCTACCCAATGCAACTTCAATCTAAGTTCAACTTAAACCTGAGTTCCTACTCACTCCCCCTCAATCACAGCAGTGATACTAAACAATTGACTACTGAAATAATGAAGACACTCTTCAGAACATACACTTGATTATGCTTCACATCTTTTAATCAAGTAACACAAACACTTGTGCTTCAAAGCTTTGAGTGATACACAAACCTAACTTGACCTTGCTTCAAAGCTTTAGTCAAGAGACACAAACACTCTTGCTTCAAAGCTTTGAGTGATACACAACCCTTACAATCAAAACCTATTCCAAGTCACTTATCACAATGATACTTGCTTGGATTACAGTAGTTAAAACTATACAACCCCAAGTTGTTCTTCTGTCTAAGAGTTAATTTCCAATCAGCTTTCCTGTTGAATATATATGCAGCTGTTTCTTCAGTTAGGGCTTCCATGAAAAGCTAGGGTTAATTAGGGTTAACCTCAAGACTTGGTCACAAGACTTTATCAACCAGATTAGGGTTGAGCTCAGTTAACCTAAAGTCCACGTGAGATTCTGTTCTGGAATGTATGAACCAAATTCCTGAAAAATCTCAGAATTAACCAAACTGCATAACTGTTAGATCAGTACAGGATATCTTAACATCTGTTATGACAACAGAAATCCTGTTTACTGATTTTGGTAGAAAGTAATAAATGTGATCATTGCAAAATGCTCAGATACACACTCATAAATAGCAGCTTATGTATGCCATTCTTTTTCTGCATAAAGTACCTAATAATCCAGAATGTTATGACATCAGTCATGACATTCACACACCTGGTTTTACCAAAAATACATTCCAATAACTAAACACTTACAAACTCCCCCTTTGGCAAATTTTTGGCTAAAACCCCTAAGCAATCAGAGAATAGAGAGCAGCAGAATGAATATGTCTGCAGAAAATAATAATGTCTACCAAGTAATTAACACAAAATATCTCCCCCTCTTTAGCCACAAATAGGCCAAAGATTACATGTACTTATATGTTATACAGTCATCCAAAATGAGTAATAAATAAATAAAAAAACTGAAATCACTTGCAGCAACAGGAACCAGCATCAAGCTTGACAACTCCACCAACCTTTAAGCACTGTCATCTTCAGAGGAGGCACTTTCTTCAGCATTGAGCTGATCTTCAGTAGCATCCTCTTCCCTTCTTTGTCCTTCAGTCTCCTCCTGTTCTAATCTGGCAATTAGGTTCTCAAGAGTCCTTTTCCTTGTCTCCAGCTCTTTGCAGGTTTCCTTCAGCACAGCTATAACATCAGATGTCTTGGACTGAGTTTTTATAGTTGATGTCTCAGCTGATGTCATGACAATTTCAGGAACATGAGATCCCTGGAATAGCTTATAGTGCAACCCAAGAGCAGGGGCTCTTTTGCATACAATATCTCTTTCCACCAGAATGTCTGGATACTGAGCAAGGACAATACCACATAGGAGGGAGGGAAAGGCAATAAGGCCTTTAACAGCATAGCTTCCAGCATGTTTTAAAGTTTGATCAAAGATATACCTGCCATAGTCAAATTCAGTCCTGGTTCCAACAACATAAATGAATCTTCCCAATCCTGTGGAGATGGTTGATTTATGATTGGTAGGAACCCAGTTGGCTGCACCAATCTTGTGCAGGATG